AACGCATGGATTCAGAAGAATATTATCATCTGCTGCTGCAATCTCAGTGGATCCACCCATTATGTCCTGGCCTTCATGTTCCCCTCCATTTAATACACCCTCAGCATCAGTCACTTGTTCATTCACTTCCTCCGCTTCGATATCAGGATGAACTTGATCAACATAAGCTGTCGCAGTCTTTTCTAAACACTTTCCAGACTCCAGGGATTGATCTGCTCCATCTACGCTATCCTGTTCAGCACCATTAACGTGTCTGTCCACTTCCATCTCTTGCCCTGTATTTGATTCAACCAGTGCAGTATCATGGACCGTGTTCTTGCCTATACTCTCTTCAGGTTTCAAGTGAAGGTCCTTTTTGGAATTCAAAAGGCCCCCCTTATCTGTTACTGAAACTACACCTCCAGGAATTACTTGAGCTGGCAGAGATAAGGTAGTTGAAACCAACGCAATATCATGAACCATGTCCTCTATGCTCTCTTCAGGTTTCAAGAACTGATAATTTTCAGAATCTTGTGCACCTGTTGCTCCCGTGTCACTTCCATGAACTACTTGAGGCGGCATAGGAGAAGACACTGAATCTTCAGGTTCATTGCTGCCACTATGGGTGCAGCCAGCCACTGGCTCAATCTTAACCAGCTGTTCTTCTACTGGATGACTTGAATTTTCATTAGTTTTATCAGTTTCCTTACCTGCAACTTCGGGAGTCAAAATATCTACATTGTCCAACCCAGCAACATCACCACTAGCAACAGAAACTTTGGTTTGTTCACTTGAGGGTTCGGGATTCAAACCTTCTTCACTAACAACCACTGCAGCTTTTTCAATTCTGGGATTCAATACTACATCATCTGAAAAACCAGCTTTTTGTGCCTTCAAATCATTGAGTGCATCAACCTCACCAACAACCAACTTCCTTTCTTGTTCCACAACCTCCACCAATCCTCCCACGGAAACTTCTACACTTTCCTTCACAACTACTTCACTGACAACATCTTGTGTTTCACTACCTACAGATCCAATCAAGGAACCCCCAATTCCATTTTCTGCTGTGGCATCCTGTGCTTTTTCATCCAAAACACTAACTTCCTCTGAATTCACATCCTGCCTCACAACCATCTCAGCTTCCTCAAAATGAAAAACCTCGGTTTCTATGACTGTTGAACTAACAACTGCAGCCACCGAATCCAGCTCACCCATTTCACCACCATCTCCTCCAGAAGATCTCACATTGCCCTCCAACCCCATATCAACCTCAACCGAATCATCATGACCCACCCCTTCATTGTCCCCATCACCACTAGTGCAAACTCCACCAACATAGACATTAGAACCCAGAACCTCCACCATTATATCACCCCCATCACAATCACCGCCTTCATCGTCACCAACATCCTCCCCAAAAGACCCCTCAACCTGACCCTCAATCACACAAGCCTCGGACCCAGCTAGGGTTTCACCAGCTACATGCCCACTAGCACTCACAGTGGACTCTGACCCACTACCCACATCAACATCTTTATCCGTTAGCTCATCCATTGAGATATTTTATCTGGGTATTTTCCAAAACCATCAAATTTAACTTCTTTTCATTTTACACTTCCAAAAATTACCAAAAAAATCGAAAATATGATAAACCCTAATCACAAAACTGAGCAAATCCAACCAATATCGAGAAAAGTATAGCACAAAATTAACAAAACTTGAAAGTTTAAAGCTTCAGGGATTGTGATTGCGTGTGTTTACCTCCAGATCTTCTGAACAAGATTAAAGCCCTCGAGGTTTGGGGGAAAGAGAGAGAGAGAGAGCTTGTGAGTTTTGCGTTTTTGGGTACGAGGGAAGTAGTGTCCTTTTGGGAGACCTAGAAAAAATTAAAATTAAAATTGAACGCAGGAGCTGATCAATTTTGCTTTATTGTGCCTATTCCTTTTTTTTTTCTTTCACACTTTTCAATGATTGGTCAGCTCAGCCTTCTGTGAGTTTATTGGAGTTAACGGCTGAGTTCATCCCGTCACGGATGGATTGTGAAGGGCCAATAAATCTGGAACACGTGTTCGAAGATAGCTGTGTTGCTTTCATTTTGCTAGGCGGCGATTTTTTGTTAGGGTTTTTATCACAAATGATCATTGAAATTGACCATCACCATCAATATGATCCTTGAAATTGAAAATCAATAATACCGTTCTTGAAAATTGGTGTCGCAAATTAATGTGATCCTTCCGTTACAATTTTGTTAAAAATTTTGTTAAATGCTAATGTGATACATAAATGGACCACATAAGTCCTTTCTTCTCATAAATGGTCCTTAAAATTGACCCACGACATCAAAATGGTTGTTGAAATTGACCTGCAACATCAAAATGGTCCCTGAAATTGAAATTGATCAATGTTGTCTTGCAAGTAAGTGTCTCAAATCAATGTAGTCATTCCATCACAATTCTGTAAAATATTTTATTATGTACTGATGTAACACATAAATGGGTCACACAAGTCTAATTAAATTTAAAAAATTACAAATAGGCTTAATAATTTAATAGTTAATAAAAATTTGTCAACTCAAAAACTCAATCCTACAATCACCTCCGATCTCAGTCTACATTTCTCTACCTCATTCGCTCTCTATTCTTTAAAAAAATCTCAAAACACACTTCGACATCCTTCACCGAATTGAACCTGGATCAAGATCACCTTTGGTGACAACTTAGCCCATTAGCAACGACTACTGGGACATCACGGTTAACATTTAGGCGATCAACATCCTCACAACCTTAATCTTGGAGAGCTTATTTGCACTTCCTGGTGGTCCGGTGATGCAAAGAACAATGAGGTATGCCTTGAGATAATGAGTTTATAACCAATGTGCGTCCATTGTTGGTTGAAAACTATATCCACACCATCTCTTAGGCCTTGGTCAAGTATTGTGCCTTTGAAAATTTATGGAATGGATATTTTTTTGGAGTAGGCCCTACTATAAGAAAAAAAAAATTCCATTATGCAAAAAGGTATTTGGACAACTTTTTTAATTAATTATTAAACCCACATCAACACATAACAAATTTTTTTACAGAATTGTGGTGGAAGATCATATTATTTGCAACACCTATTTTCAAGGACTATATTGATTGATTTTCAATTTCAGAGACCATATTTGACAAGCTCGACCATGATAGTCTCCCAAACATTAGGGTAGGCACGTGATGGCTGACACCCGAATGTGACGAAGCCATATTAGAACGCATAAGAACAGGAAATATGAATGAAATAATAGAAATTTAAATATAATAAATATGTATTTAAGCAACGTGTTCAGAGCATGCACTAATCTAGAACATTAAAAAGAAATAATATAAATTGAATGAACTAAGAGATGGGTCCTACACCAAGAGGACTGAAAGATGTAGATGTGGAAGTATCTTGATGGCAAGATTGTACACCTCAATTCTAAATCCTGAGGGGGCGCAAATCCTCTCCACAAGGTAATCCCCAAAACATTTCTTTTAAATTATGTTAATTGCCTAATTAATGGATTTATTACCTAATTAATCTATTAATGGCCAATTAAACCACTAATTACACCCAAAAAATACACAAAATGCCGGTCACCTTCTCTCCCAAAGGGACCGGCCATGCACTATATATTCAACCTCATTTCCTCTAAAAACCTAGGTTTTGACTCTTGCTAAACACTCAAAAATTCCCCAAACACTTTTCTCTCAAAATTCTAACTTTGGCATAGGAAGTTCTTCGGCCAAAGTTCCCCCCCCCCCCCAATTCATCGTGGGCGCATGAGGCTCTTGGCCTTGACCAAATATGTTATTTGTTTGTTGGTGCAATTTTATCCAAGATCAAGGAGGAAGAAATTTGCATCCACATGATTGGACCAGCGTATATCACAAAACAAGTAAACATAACAGCTACCCTAATCTCTATCTTCTAAACGTTGGGCGTCTCTGCTGCAACAAACATTTTGCTATTGGCCACTAAAGTAGTTTGGAAAAAGAAAACAACCAAGTGATTAATCCGAATCTCAACACAAAAACTTCAAAATCGAAAGATACATCGCAATCATATTTCGCCACTCGAATTACATCAAAAGGAATATTTGACTAATTTTTAGCGGTGGCTGATGCAGACATAACTTCATCCCCGCACCGCGACCGGCACTTACTCCAACTATGCATACATAACTTATATGTCCCAGTTTGGCCTGTGGTATTTAACGATTGGGCCTACTCATCCTTCTTACATGTACTTTGGGCTAGGTGTTTTATAGAAGCCCAAATTCTTCACCCAATTAGTTGATTTTCAAGCGATATTCTATCTTAATCTGAATTACAGAAATGTGGATTCAAACTTGAGTGCATAGAAAGAAGTGTATTGTGATTGATAAAGTCAATTGACACCAAATTACTTCTTGTTCTCCTTTTTTATTCAATGGTTGCTGAGGGAGTGGAGAATCAAACATAAGACTTGAAATACAAACGTCAATACAACAGACGGAAATTGTTAGAAATACCACATTTGTGTATTATCTGATGTGTCAAATGATGTGCACATTTCACGTCAATGATTGAATTTATATCATTGAATGTTAATTATATACATCACTTTTTACATGTGATGATACACTAATATGATATAAATAAGTGGTCTTCCTAGCATTCCTCCAAACTGTAAGAACATAATATATTGTTTCTACAACAATGATAACGCGAGTAGCATTGTAGACACAAAGAAATATGTACTCTGTAGACACAAGATTCAAGTGGAAAAGAAAGGCGTTTTGTGCAGAAAAAAGTTGAATGAAGCCATGCAAAGCAATCGAGAGAAGATGCATACAATGACTTCTCTGTTACATTGTTTTTGTTGAATGGTTCACAGCTCAAGCTGAGATGGATATGTTAGAGAGAGAGGAGAGAGAAAGAATGAACTAATCTGATCAGAAACACCTAATTAAATCAATTAAGAATAATTATGGAATTAATTAAAATTAAAATATAAAAATAAATTAATTGGAAAGAAAGAGCTACAACAGATCAGAGATAATAATGTTGCTCTGTGCAGCCACCACGTTCGGTTCCCCCTTAGTTATTTGCCACCACGTTCATCCTCTTCTCTGCCAACTGTACCTGCACCTATTCCACAGCCAAGCACACTGTTTCTCTAGCAATCAGTTTACATCTATTCATAAAAATAAACAAATAATTAATTAACTATTTGCCATAACCTACTACAATGAAGGAATCTACAATATTTACTTGGATTTAATGAAGAAAAATGCAACTTGGAAAGAAAACAAACAACAAAAACGATCAGTTCATGTGGTTTTACTATAACACTGTCATACAGTGTTATCGATCTTCTTATGTTATAATGTATATCTACTTATTGAGGTTGTATTATAAGTTCCTGATCTTGTCGTCTGCTCATAATATAACGTGTGAATTAATAACATCATAGCCAAAACCTGTTTATTATGCTTAGAGTTTTATAACATTTTGAACCAGTATCATATATGCTAAACCAACCGGTGACTTTCATACTTTTATTTTGTTTTTGTATACTAAATTGGGTAAAAGATGCATGAAGAGAAAATGCGAGCACGAAAATTACTTTACTATATTAAAGTATCTAAAACATTAAATCTTAAATAACGGATAAATTTTTTGATGTAATTATTGAGAAATGTTAAGGAGATTCTTAAAAGTAAGACTCTCCATGAACTCCTACCTCATATTTTTTTCACAACGTTTATATACTAGCATAAAAATTGACGTTTAATTATGAGGTATAATAAAGACTACGAAAATTTTCATTTTGAGAGAGTATTCTTATCATTTATTTTAATTTTTTTATGAATAAAAGTCCAATAACAATGTTCAAGCCACGTGAGTTCTGCAAAATGAGAGTTGGCAATTGGCCCAGAAAAATCAAAGCCTCACGTGACTGAATGATGCAATTATTTGTTTCCACGTTCCCATTTTTTGACATTGACTAGGTTGAACATGTTAGCATGTGAGCAAGCACTACAATCTCTCAACCTGTGTTAGGAGCAATCGATGCTGGTTTGGACATAATGGTCGGGACTGTGGCCACGTGTCCGGCCATGGTCGGCGAGTAGATGTGAGCAGGTAAGCCCATTGTATGTGATTGATGGTGATGGTGGTAGTAGAGAGGATACATTGGCATCAAAGTGTTGTGTCCCACGACTGGCTGTGCTGGGTAAACTTGAGGAGCAGAGTAATGCCCGTTCATGTAAGCTCCACCTGTGTAGCCCACCTTCTGTAAATTCACCATTGTCATAGGAAGAACAAGTATCAAATCACATTGACCTCCTCAAATAATTCAATTTAAATTGAAGTCGCGAAACGTAAATGTAAGTTAGATCAGTTAATTATAATAGTTTGTTCAATTTACACTCGAGTTTGACTATCTTCGTAAATTAAAGTGATTTAAAACATTTCACTTTTTGAAACGTTGTTTTAAACATAAGTATATATCAGATTGATAGAAAACACGAGGATTGAAGTCGAAAAGCGCATTACTTACATGATTGTAACTCATATCAGCGGCAATGTATGTGGGGGAGTAGCTGAAAAGAGAGAATAAATCATTTTAATTACATTAATTATTTATGATTATTTCTTAGACGTACCAAAAAATAAGATGGGAAATTAATGGCATGGAAATATATAGGTATATACCCATAAAATGGAACGGCCTGGTGATGATGGTGGTGGAATGGGCTAGCTGGAGTCCCTGTTGGTGCTGGGTAGTACCACTGCACGTGATTTGCAGGTGCAGGTGCGGGAGCAGGTGACATGGACCTCGCCCCGCCACCGTTCGATCCTTCAGCATAATCATTTAGATGCAATGTCAGATGAAAATCTCATATCCTAGTGAATATCGATAATGTATCAGATATTGTGGATTGATAGACTGATGCATACCTCGTTGAGGAGGAGGGGTGGTGTTTGAAGCGGACCTAGGGCGGCGAGCCCCGAGGGAAGCGAGGTTGCAGTTGGCACGGCGGCCGTTGATGACCGGCGTGGTGTCCTCACAAGCCTTCTTAGCCTCCTCCGGCTCCTTGAAGGTGACCTACACGTTACATTACCGCAAAGCACACCATCAAAAACCACCAATCACCACCGCAATATTATTACAAAAAAGGAAAGAAAAAAAAAAGAAAAGGACTTACGAAACCGTAACCCTTGGATCGGCCGGTGAGTTTGTCGGAGATGATGACGGCCTCCAAGATCTCGCCGTACTTGTCGAAGTGCTCTCTCAAGGCCTCTTTGGGAGTCTCCCACGCCAGCCCTCCGACGAAGACTTTGGTCAGTGTGGTGTCACCAAACTGCCCATGAGTAACGTTGTTGCTCATTGTCATTCTTGCGCCCGGAAAAAACCACCACCGTAATGCAAGTAATATCCTCCAACTACCCTTTCTTGAAATTTGGCACTAATATGTTTGTGTTTATGAAGAAAAACTTAAGCTAGAGAGAGAGAGAGAGAGAGAGAGAGAGAGGTGGTGAGGTTTTGGGGGGAGAGAAAGGAGGAGGGAGGGTATAAAAAGGGGGAGGGGTGGAAGCACTGTAAGGGAGTGGGGTGGAGGTAATAAAATATTTGGAGAAAAACAGAGAGGCAAATAGACAGATAGGATTTGTTGAGGCCTGACTGAGCACACTCATGGCTCATAAACCCATTTGTCTATTTGGATGTGTGTTGGTGGGGAATTTGATGTGGTGCTCTTCTGTTTAGTTCGAAGTAACCGAATATGAAACGAGATGTAAATTCAAAAACTTCAAGCTTTTGATTAAGTATATTAAAGCGTTACGCGTATTTGAGGATATTTTTAAATTTTTTATGCACCAATTATGTATGTCTTTCTTCTCACGTGACAAGGTACACGCGAAAAGAACTAATTACAATTGTCGTTTATAAGTATTACAACTAGCACTCACGATCCTGAGCATAATATCAAGTTGTACACAACTTGTATTCGTCGGTTTTGTATGTTTCTTTTCTCATGTGATAAGTCATACGTCTAACGTGCATAAACTAGTACAACTAGCGCTCTGTCTCCTTCTTTTAGAAACTTGGGCACAAAAACACTCGAGATCACATTTACAACTCCCGCTTCTCCAGTATCTCTTGCTTGTACTTATAATGTAGGTTAAGACTCCCCCTATAGTGTGTCATTAATTGGATGACCATTTGGGTAACTTTGTAGTGACCAAAGCTGTACTTTGACTAATTGGCACTTACCATGTTTTTTGGTATGAAAAATCTCCAATTGTGTGATTCAAAATCAGTAGTGCATGATTCATGAACCGAGTGAGTGACAAGGGGGGGTGGAATTTGAGTACAGATCATAGGTATTTTTACTGCTTGAATATTAATTTCCTTATTTTCAAGAAAATATGTGGTAAAATATTAATATTTACCAATTACCTGCGCGTGACCCCATGCGCCTGGTTGACAAGAACCAATTATCAAAGAGACAGCTAAACGCCGTACGTTGTAAGGTGGGTCCCACGTATTTTTAACGAAAACCGATGTACATGACGGGCAGTCGTAGAAGGAAGCGGCAGTCGACGGATACGATAATGCCGGTCGCTCCAAAACACCTTCGCGCGCTAGGTACAAATACAACATTATATTTTTCTCTGTTTTTGCACATAATTGCCTGCATCCGCATGCAACCTATATCTTTTGGGTTCGGATCATCGTATAACATTTTTTGTCGAGAAAACATTATATGAAAAATGTCATATTAAAAATTAGATTAAGATTTTAATGTTAGGGATTTGTTTGAGAATGCATAGGGTTCAAAAAGCTTATAGATGACATTTCCATACTTAATTTGTCTTTTATTTGTAAATTAGAATATTTACTCCTATAATTATTTTTCAAAATGAATACAAAATGTTACCTTTAATTTTCTAAATAAAAGATGTGGATTTGAATGACAAAAACCAGAGCAACGTATAGATCCAAACATTTTAGTAAGTTTTGTTTGAGAATAAGATTTATTACAGATTTACTTATAAATAGGGAAGAATATCAATAAATTATAAATTTTGCAATTCTTGATATACACATTAATACAAAATGACTCTGCGTACATTACATGTGAATTTTATATATGTATAGAGAGAAATAGTTATATGCGACGAGTATATACAATATTATTCATATGAATGTTTATGTATAAGACATTGTATAGGATTTATCTCTCACGGTTCGACTAAAAAACAAATTATCACAAATTAAATTATATACAACCAAATAGCATGTAAGATTGCATATGATATGAAATAAGAGTTATATACACATAATTTTGATCTCCATACAATCATCTCTTCCCTCTCTGATCATACTAAGAATTGTTGTTATACATATATACTTGCATTAAAATTTTAAGCAATTTGTTTGCTTAAAAAAAAGAGAGGGGAAATTAAGAAAATTTAAACAAAAGAAACTGTATAATTTGGGGAGTGACCGAACAAAGGCAATATTGTGGTTTTGGAGTGAAATTGGTTGGTGTGTGTCTGCATGCACGTATATACGTGACTAGATGATGCAGCGAAAACTTTTGTAAGCAACGATACGGTCAGAGACAGAAACCGTCCGATGTGCATCGGTTTCAAGTAGATAAACTGCTTGATCACGTGGACCCACCACTCCACAGTGTGCCAAGGAGATTACTGTGGACCCCACCCTGAATTCTATACCTAACTAGATGATGCATATCATTTTACTTGTAATCGTTGGATAAATATAAATTTTGAGATTTGTATTTATTCATTATCTAGATCTTAAAACTTAAATTCATTTAATTGTGATAAATATGATGATTTTCACTATCACTTGAGACTTCACAGTGGTGAACGAAGATATTACCAAATTCAATTTCTAATTGGACATATCTAGTTTAGACTAAAATAGTTCAGGACTCTTCGAGAGGGCTATATTTCATAAATGTGTGAGGCCAAATAAGGCATAGTTTGGTACTGAGGTGATTCTGAAAAAAAAATAATATAAAAAAAAGCTAGGAGCTGTTTTTGTGTTTGGTAAACATTCAGCTTTAACTTTTTTTCACAGTTTTGGGTGAAAAAAAGTCAAAAACAAGAAGCTGCAAAATCCAGTTTTGAAAAATAGGTTTTTTTATTCACATCTATTTTACATAAAAGTTTACCAAACATTATAATACTGCTTTTTTTTTTCTTTTTCAAAAGCACTTTTGCAAAAAAGTTTATCAAACACTCTGCTGATTTATTTCACAGCTGCTTATTTTCACAGTACAGCAGAAGCAGCTTTTTTCAAAGTACAACAATATCAAACCAGCCCTAAGACCTCTAGCCCCTAGTCTTTGCCCTTTCCACTAGACTTTAACTCTCTTTAGGTCCGAATTCTAGATAATTACATGACGTAAGACGTCTCTTACAAAACCAAAAGATCTTAAGTTTTTTTATCTCGATCACTTAACTATCTATGGTTCTATTGCAAATGCTTGCAATAAAAATCTGTGTCATGCTAATTTAATTTAATTTAATGTGAGAATTATCATAATTAAACAATCTGTTATAGTTTCTTTCGTCCCACTTAAACTCATAGTCAATCAAATGCAGGCATTGTCATCATGCAACTCAAGAAAGAAGCGCGAGTGACATGTTGTGATGGTTTTCCGAATTTTCTTCAAAAACTGCAAGACCTTTGCATATAACTGAGGAAAAAAATGTGTTACAACTTACAAGTACCGTTTGGCAATCTAATTGACGCTTGCCTTAAAGAATAAGTTGTAGAAATGTCATCATTAATGTGTCGACAACATTGTAAACAAAGAACGATCCAACTTGGATCTCCAAGCATGAATTGCATAATCCATATAAATATATATTAAAGGCTTTTTAGTCAAAATAGTTTCTGAAATTGACATAACTTCTCATTTTGGTTCTTGATATTTGAAGTCGATAGAAGTGGTCCATGAGTTTATCCACCATTAATCATTTTGGTCATTACATGAAAAATTATGTTAAACAACGATCAAAGTGACAAAAATACCTTGAATTTATTAAACAATGAGCTAAAATGGTTTGATAATAATTGATGATATTTTTGTTATTTTATTCCTATTTAATGGAGATTTTTAATGGGAAAACCAAAATAATTGATGATAGACAAACTTAGGGACCACTTTTATCAATTTCAAATTTCAAGAACTAAAGTAAGAAGTTTTGTCAATATCATGAACCATTTTAGCTAAGAAGTCTATATTGTTTTTTTGAACAGACAATATTGTCTAACAAAGCGAGAGGGGGATGGGCTTAACTTCACAAAGGGCTAGCAACAATGTGGTTCAAATTCGTTTTTGCGATAATCAAACCTAACATCTCTCACTTACAAATGAAGAGGAATACAATTAGACCATAGTACTAAGTGGCAAAAATCCTATATTAAATCACCACTTTATTCGTTTAATTTTTATTTTTATCACAGAAACACACAGATTAAGTGTATTTTACTGTTTAATTATTTTATAATTATAATTACAGAACTAGAAAATTGACATGGGAGGCATTAGTTTATGAAAGATGATAGGACACACGTCTTTTCCCAAAACATCGTTTGCTGTCTGTGCGATCAAACATGGCTTCAAAGATTCCATCCCAAAACAAAGACAATTTCAAAGGGAAATCAGTGGCGTTAATGAAGGAGGCCTTCACCAAATGGGACAACAATTCTTTCATCCGAAGCACTTCATCCGGCGAAACAAGAGTTTAACTTAACTTTCGTTGTATTACAGCTGCTTCTCTCTCTCTCTCTCTCTCTCTCTCTCTCTCTCTCTCTCTCTCTCTCTCTCTCTCTAAGCCCCAATAACTAGAGAGAATTGGATCTTGAGTTTTAATTTTAAAAAGTTGATGTTCTAAACTGCTCTAACTTATAAAGAGGGATATTCGAACTCAAGTGTAAGAAATGACACACTTACTTAACCAACTGACTAAATACACGTCTTGTCAAAACACATCTTTACAAATTAACGTGAAAAAATTTAGGGTTGCGTAAGATTTGAAATGAGAAAACTTGGAGGATTGAGTGAAAGAGAAAACAAAAGTACTCAAAGTCCTTGTTACCTTTACGAGTTAAGATTGGATACACAACTAAACTCTCTTGAAACCAAATCAAGAAATTTTTATTATAGATTGATCGGTTCTAAAATATGATCAATAAATACGGTACAAATGGCCATATACATCTTGTATACATCGACAAATGGATGAAGTCATCTCTAGCGTATCGAGTTGTTAGTGCCTTGGAAACTGTGACAAATGTGAGTAGAACAAAATTCATGCACCAATGCGATACATAATCCTAGACACACACACACACACACACAACACAGCGCATATTGGAGACATGGGAATATAAAGAGCATGGGGGGTGCTGGCTGGATCTGTCATCTCGCTTGGCAAACGACTTTTGGTCCCACATGAGGAGGTTTGCCAGCTAAATCTCTCAAAACCCCCC